TTTATTTAGTGCGCAGAGGCGATGAAAACTAACTAAGGCAACACTGTCTGCTGTCGGTAGATTCTGCTGCTGTCACTGATTCTGAACATTTACTTTATTTTCTTGAACATTTCTTCAATTGTTTTATGAGAAAAAAATTATATAAGTATAATGATAGTTCAATTACTTTCAGTATATTCAGTGATAATTTCCCATATTAGCCCATAACAATTCTTTGTAATATAGAATTCCAATGTAGAGAAGTAGTGGTGAATGAAGGTTATGTAACTGTTCCTAAAAATGATATAGTTGTGGCATTCTGTGATATCTGAAGAATTTTTTTTATTTATGTTCAGTGATGTAGAAGTAAAACAGGTCCCAGAAGAAATATTGAAGGAATTAATAATGAGAAAGATTAAATCAAGAAGCGCCATTTGCCATTTGTTTCCATCAGCTAGACTACATCTTTTCTTCCCCCTCTCCCAGAGGGTATTGGAAATTCCTGCTACAGTAGGAACAATGACGTGTTGACACATTGCAATGAGGCCACCAAAATATGAACCCTGCAGCTTCTGAGGCATACAACTTCCAGTTGTGATAAAGCCACTTCTAGCAAGCTTAACTGCAAGGTTATTTTGGGGAGAACTACTGAAGCCTGCTTTAGAACTGTGAGCGGTTCGTGGTAGCTGGTACATCTCTTCTAGAGATATAGCATCACCTTGCTATTACTAGTCCTTGTGCTTGATTTTTTTTTCTTTTGCTTCTAATTGCTTCCTTTTGAAAAGAGGAATACATTTGATATTTAATAAGCTCATATTAAGCTTGAGGACAGAGACTACTCTGGAAGTTTTCTTTGAAAAAGAGTGTTAAATGCTTTAATTCATAAATGTTAATAGAATGTAAGTTCGTGCTGTCATAGTTGGTCCACTGCAGATTTAAAATGAAAATAAGTTCTATTGAGATCAGTAAACATTTGTGAAGCATTCTCTGGAATGGCAATTCTTATACTGTCACTGTTTTCACATATAATGTGTTCATATACCCAGAAATTTAAAGAGACTTCACTAAGATTTGCAAGATGAGATGTTTAGATTGATTGTCTCAGAATAAGAGCAGAATCAACTTCTTAAAATGGCTAGGAAGTACACATTTCATGAACAATGGTCAATTAACATAGAATATACCATAGTTAATTTATTGATAATCTATTATAGATATGTCTGACATATAGATTGCATTTAATAATTATTTTTCTATAATTAAGCCTTCTAATTTAAATTGTTTTACTGCTGTTAAGTGTCTTACACTGCTTTTTAAAATTTGGCACCCTTCTTTTGGTTGATAGTGTTTTAATGTTTCATTGTGTGCCTCTGTGTTTGGCTATATATGCATCCAGACATATAGTTTTGTACTCTGTAATCTTTTGAAATGGGAGGATAGAGGCAGACACTCTTAAAATTAAGTTCTGGGTCCATCGTTCAAAAATATCCTTCAATATGTCCAGTGTTAAAATATTTTGCTTCATTCTATATTAGTAGGTCAAATTTAAGTGTTCTTCTCCTTTAATTGTAATCTTTAGTTCCTTCTGGTTCCCTCTAGTGCCCAAAGGCTTCAAAGCCTTCAAAGTCTCATCCTGTCATTTTTTAAAAGAGAATTCAAAACAAAAGCATTTCCCCACAGGAATGATTCTTATAATTAGTTCCAAAATCTTATTATTTCAAATCCATCTGGACCCTTAGTCAGTTTGTAACTTTCTATAATCAAAATTTTAATCACTCTTTTCCTGTTTATTAAAAAAAAAAAAGTTTAAGTCCTTAAACTTGTATTTAAAACTTCTTCCTCTAAGGATTGAAAGAAACTCCCCTGGTGCTGTAAAACTTGTCAATCCAAAGGTTCCTAATAGCTGAAAAGCAGTTAACAAACAATTTCCTAAAGTAATTAGAAAAGGAAGTATACAAATCCAGAGTGCTTTCAAAGGCGCCAACTGCAGTTTGAGCAAGACAGCTATTCCTTCATCTCCCAGAGCTCAAAACCCACTGGAGATTGCTGTCTTGCAGCCTCCTCATGAGGAGCAACTGTCTGGAGCACTTGTGGGTGATCTCAAGTCCTCTCCTTGTTCAGAGAGGAATTAGGAAGAGCCAGCCTGCTTGCTGGCTCTTCATTCCACCGCAATTGTCAGCTCCACTTTTCATGGAACTGTCTTCAGTTCACCATTTCTTCCCCGGAAGTCTGTTGTAAGAACATATCCTGAACATAAGTATCATCCTGCACAGGGCATAAGAACTTAACATACTTTTTTCTATATTGTTTACTGCTATAGTTTTAATAAAGTGACTTGTAATGTTTTTATGTTTATGTGTGCATGTCTTGTAAGTACAGTGGTACCTCGGGTCACGAACGCTTCTGTTCACGACGAATTCGGGTCACGAAC